TGGCCGGTTCCCTCCTCCCCCCCGATCTTCCCTGGCCAGCCCTGCTCCCCACAACCTTCTCCCGGCCAGCCCTGCTCCCTGCCAGCTGGTTCCCTCCTCCCCCGCCCCCCTCCGGATTTTCTCTGGCCAGCCCTGTTCCCCCCAACCTCCTCCCAGCCAACCCTGCCCCGTTCCTGGCCTCCTCCCCATCTGAGAGCAAGTGTTTCTGTTATTTTTTTGAAATCATCTGGTAACCCTACTCCTGGCTAGAAACCCTCACACAGTACTGTTTTCTAAGTAGTTTGGCAGGAAGGAGAGGGTGTTTGCATGGGGAAAGATGTCCCACTACTGCTCCCGCTGTACCTTTTTAAGTTGTTTGTTTCAATATGACTTTGGGTGCAGCTACCTTTTCCATAAGTAGAGAACTTCAATCAACCGCCCAGGACTACCCACCTGGCCCACCTCTCCAGCCTAACACTCTTTTGCCCAAACCCCGTGCCCAGGACTACCCAGCCTAACACTCTTTTGCCCAAACCCCGAACCTCCTGGCTACAGTCCCGCACTGATGGAGAAAGTGAGGCCTAGTTTCTGTTTTGAATACAGCAGTTTCCTTTCAGGCTAATCATCTTTCCTGTAATTGATTTCCAGAAATTCCAGCCCAGTTAACGAGGGCCATGTGTGGGTACGGTTGTGATGGACGTGGGCCAACGACTTCTCAACAAAGCTGTCGTTTCTCTCCAGATTCCACCAGGCTGGGCGACCCTACTTTGAGAGAGGGCGGGGTGGGTTTTTTTTCACAAATTAGCAACTGTAACTTGGAAAGGACAATTTGGTTTGGATGGGATAGAAAGGGAGGGCTTTTTGGGAGCTAATCACATCTCTGGTGTCAACAGCCCCTTAGACTTGCAGCCAGGGCTTGAAATGGCACAAAAAATAAGTGAGTCTCGGGTTGCGGAGGAAGGGGAGGATAGGACAGGACATCGTAATTTGCAAGCTGCAGTGCTTAGAAGAGCATCCTTCAGTGAAGCAGCTTGATTTCAGTTTTTGGTTGGGTTTGTGACCCCTTGAGATACCCTCCCCCTTATAAACATCACATACACACACACGACACACACACGACACACATACACACACACACACACACACCCTTCCCAGGTCTCATGAAGTAAGCAGGGTGGAGCCAGCTCTGTATTTACATGAGGGACCCTTAAGGCACATTTGTGACATTTCTGGTAACCCCAAATCTGAACATTTCACCAAATATAATTTTGGCCAATTTTTTTTCCACATTCTGGCCATGAATTCCATCACTGGAGACATTCGAACCTGGACTGAACATAGCATGGGAAAGCATACTCCTAGAAAACAGCCCTAGGTTGGCTGAGGCTATGTCTACACTGCGGACAGTATCTCGGAAAAACTCTGCTGTGTCCAGGGAATGTGTCTGCTCTTCTCCCTTTTTTCATGGAAGAGCAGACGTGCTCTTTCGGAGGAACCTATGTACCTCGTTCTATGAGGAATAATGGCTCCTCCAAAAGAGGAAGCTTTTCCGCCATTTGGCCCTGTCTATACATTGCGGAGAGCAATGTGCATAACTTTTTCCGATAAAAACCTATAGGCTGTGTCTAGACTGGCAAGTTTTTCCGGAAAATCATCTGCTTTTCTGGAAAAACTTGTCAGCTGTCTACACTGGTCGCTTGAATTTCCGGAAAAGCACTGACGATCTCATGTAAAATCATCAGTGCTTTTCCGGAAAAACTATGCTGTTTCCGTTTGGGCAAAAGTCTTTTTCCGAAAGACTTTTGCACGAAAGGGCCAGTGTAGACAGCATAGTACTGTTTTCCGCAAAAAAGCCCCGATCGCGAAAATGGCGATCGTGGCTTTTTTGTGGAAAAGCGCGTCTAGATTGGCCACGGACGCTTTTCCGGAAAAAGTGCTTTTGCGGAAAAGCATCCTGCCAATCTAGACGCACTTTTCCGAAAATGCTTTTCACAGAAAACTTTTCTGTGAAAAGCATTTCTGGAAGTTCATGCCAGTGTAGACGTAGCCATAGTGTAGACCTAGTCTGAGCGGGGTGGAGGAATGAAATAGCTGTTGCTTGTTCCCTGATACTTCTGCGGGGGCGGGCAGACCCAAGGTTTTCAAGCAGCTGCCCTCAGTGTGAGGAAGTCTTGTCTATGCCCGCAATCTGAAATCACTAGCCTCTGGCAACACAAGCACTTCCTTCCTGCCCTTCGTAGGCCTTTCTTTCCCAGTACACAGATTACTGATAACCACATACCTTCTTCTGAATCCTCAGAGTGGCCTCAGACACACCCAGCCCCTGTTCCACTGAACGGTCAGAGCCACAACCGGCAAAAGGCAAAGCACTCACCAGCTTGCTCGATTCACGTCAGGATCACCACGCCGCTGCACACACAGCTCTTCAATACATACATTGCGTGAAAAGAGGCATTATGTTTATTATCGAAGCACAGATTCCAGTGACAGAAAGTACGAATATTGGAAACACATGGTTACATATAAAACACCATCATCACAATGCTTTCAGTTTAGCTCAGATCCCTTCCCGCTGGCAGTCCTCACAGACCGAAGGAATAACCGGAGGTTCGTCTGCACCCCAGACAGAGTTTCAAAAGTTCATTGTATTCCTCCTGCCCATCTTGGCTGGCTTTATTTTTCCCAGAAGCCTCTGCAATCTATTGATTAGAACATTGCTCGGGTTAAGCCAAGGTGACGTACTCATCTGTCTTTCAGGAGAGAGGTACGCAGATCAGCTCCTGGGGACCAACTTTAACACACAATCCTGCGAACATAATTTTGAGTATGTATCCATAACTATTCACATGCTCTCCAGACAGCCATCTTGCAATGATTAAGTGTGACACAGGCTTTCACTAGAGACTTTACAGGGGCCCCCTTTTGATGAACCCAGGAAATCCCTCTACATCTATGCACCCCTGTGCCACCTGCCAGTTGGCATCAAGGGGTCCCGGGGTCGCATGACTCATCACTCAGTTCTATGTTAAGAACATAAGAGCAGCCATACTGGGTCAGACCAAAGGTCCATCAAGTCCAGTATCCTGTCTGCTGACAGTGGCTAATGCCAGATGCCCCAGAGAGAGTGAACAGAACAGGTAATGATCAAGCCATCTCTCTCCTGCCATCCATTTCCAGCTTCTGACAAACAGAGGCTGGGGACACCATTCCTACCCATCCTGGCTAATAGCTATTGAGGGACTTATCCTCCATGAATTTATCTAGTTATTTTTTTAACCCTGTTAAAGGCTGGTCTTCACATCCTCCTCTGGCAAGGAGTTCCACAGGTTGACTATGCTGCATGAAGAAAAACTTCCTTTTCTTTGTTTTAAATCTGCTACCTATTAATTTAATTTGGTGACTCCTCATTCTTATGTTATGGGAACAAGAAAATAGCTTTTCCTTATTCACTATTTCTACACCAGTCTTATTCTCTATCCCTTTTTAAATACTTCCTAATATTCGGTTTGCTTTTTTGACTGCCGCTGCACACTGCATGGATATTATCAGGGAACTCTCCATAATGTCTCCAAGATCTCTCTCTTGAGTTCTTGTCGCTAATGATATTTTCAGGGAACTCTCCATAATGTCTGCAAGATCTCTCTCTTGAGTTCTTGTCGCTAAATTAGTCCCCATCCTATTGTATGTATAGTTGGAATTATTCTTTCCAATGTTCATTTTTCATATGCCATTTTGTTGCTCAATCACTTAGTTCTGTGAGATCTTTTTGAAACTCTTCAAACTATGGTCTTTGATTAATACACATGCCAATGCAAAATCACATGCACCTTCAATTCAGAGAAGCACCCCGTGCTCCCAGCCCCCGTCACAGCTCCCTGCCCCCCAGAGACCCAAAGTACAAGTTTGCCCCGGCTCCATTTTCCCTAAAGCTGGACTTATCCTCTTCCTTGAACCCAGGCTCTTTCCTGCTCATTATCAGCAGGACTCAGCAGGCTGCTTGCATGCAACCAGACTCTGCACAGCCTCAAAGTCTGAAAATGTGCTTTCCGAACGCTTTGGCATCACCGTGACACATTGTACCTCAAACCCGGCCTCGCTCAGGGCTTCCACCACCGATTCCTTCTCCAGGTAGAGGCAGGAGAACCTCTTCTGGCCTACTATGTAGTAAGTTTCCTTTAGGACTGTCATCATCACCAGGTGCCCCCCTGGCTTTAACAGAGAACTGATGTTCTTCAGTGCTGCACGATAGCTGGTCAGGTCTTTGCAAGCAGCTTCCAGGCATAATGTGGAGAGCAGGCAATCGGCTTGGGGCAGAGACACAGGGCCCAGGACGCTGGATTTGGACACGTCGCATTTCAGAACCTGTTTGACTTTATTTCTCAGTTTCTCTTCCTTCTCAGCCCACTTTTCCCTGCAAGAAATCTTATATTGTATACTATTGCGTGGTTACCGGTCTGCCCATCATCTCTCAGCAAGGGGGTGTTCAACAGAATCTGAAGGCAGCACATTTAAAACGACACAACACACAATTAACCAGGGGAGCTCATTGTCACAACGACACTGCTGAGGCCAAGAATTAGACCAACGCATCTGATATTTACATGGGTAACCGCCCGCGGCACTAGAGATTAATAGTCACAGAGCCCTGGAAGGGCTATAAACCCTCCAGAGGATTGTGGCAGGAACTAGAAAAGCCAGTTGTGTGACTCTGTCAGATCCGGGGGCATCTTCCGCACTTCTGAGCTACCCCGGGATGGAGGGGCTAGTGCTTAGCATGCTAACCTACAACCCCGGAGACCTGCAGTCCGTTCTGTCCTTCTGCGCGGCCTTTGAATAAGTTCCAGAATATCTGTGCTTCTGTCTCCTCTCTAGGGGTACGTCTAGACTACCGCGTTTTGTCGACAGAAGTTTTGTCAACAGTATCTGTCGACAAAACTTCTGTCGACAAAGAGCGTCCAGACACATTGAGTTCTGTCGACAAAGCAAGCTGCTTTGTCGACAGAACCCTGTAGTCTAGACGCAACCCTACAGGCAATAACACCTTCTGTCGACAGAAGGTGTTATGCCTCATAAAATGAGGTATACCAGCGTCGACAAAACTGCTGAGTTCTGTCGACGTTATGTCGACAGAACTCAGCGGTAGTGTAGATGCTGGTATAGTTTTGTCGACAAAACTCAGTAGTCTAGACACACCCTCGGTAATGGGGTAGCAGCCTGTCTTTCCTCCCAGTCCTCAGGGCGTTGTGAGAGCGTATTAGTAAACATGGAGGCTCTCAGACACTATGGTGACGGAGGCTGTACCAATTCCCAGATAGAGACTCGTGCCTCTAACGTGCAACTTACCCCAGTCCTGTGCTGCACCCTTCAACAGCTCTGCCAAACTGCCCTGCTCTCTTCCAGTCCTGGCCTCACTCTGCCCCTCCAGCTCTCCCCATGCACCTCTATCCAGACCCGCATTCCGTCGCCCTTGCCACGCCAGTCCTGCCTCCTTTGATTACGTGCTGCCAATGTCCAGCCAGAGCAGAAAAAGGACTAACGGAGAGAAGCAGGAGTCGGATCAGTGTTTGTACAGCTGCACTTACACTACAGGCAGTAATTAATTACACTCCTTTGGAATGAACGTCTGGCAGTGAGGCAATGCCTAGAGCTACAAACCTGGAAATGAATGAGTAAGGAGAAACTGAGGCAGGGCACAACAAAGGTGATGCTATCTAGAAAACTGTTTACTGGAATTGGGCAATTTTGTAAAGTCTCTGTCCTGGTTGTTTGTTTCAATATGACTTTGGGTGCAGGTTGCAAACCCCTCCCCACATGCTTTTGGAAGACAAACTCGGAGTCCTTGCCATCTATGGTAAGAGCAGTGGTCATGTAGTCAAAACAAAGACTGGCAGTTTAGTCCTCCCTCTGCCACTGACTATCTGTGTGATCTTGGGCATGTCACTTTCCTTTGCTGCATCTTTAAAATGGAGATTACAATGTTTATTTATGTTTCTATTCAGTGGAGTTGTAGCTGTGTTAGTCCCAAGATATTAGAGGTACAAGTTGGGTGAGGTAATATCTTTTATTGCATCAGTTTCTCAATTTCTGTCCCATGGCTTGGTGTAATAAAATAAATGCCTCACCTATCTTGTCCCCTTATCAGTTTGCCACAATGTTTATGTTCTGCTCATCACCATAGTATTGCACACTCTGGAGTTGTTATGAAGTCAAATTCATTTGTGCTTTTAAAATGCACTGCCAACCTGTGGAACTCATTGCCAAGGGATGTTGTGAAGGCCAAAAGTATAACTGGGTTCAAAAAAGAATTGGATAAGTTCATGAAAGACAGGTGCATAAATGGCTAATAGCCAAGAGGGTCAGAGACACAACCCCATGTTCTGGGTAGCCCTAACCTCTGACTGCTAGAAGCGGAAACTTGACAAACAGGGAATGGATCATTTGATAAATTGCCCCTCTGATGCATCTTATCTGGTAGTGGCTGCTTTTGGAAGACAGGGCACCGGGCCAGTTGGACCACTGGCTGAGTACGGCCATTCTTAGGAGATGGAAGGTGCATGAGAATGTAAAAGAATGAGTACATATTAGAATGTACACACACCAGGGACCCTCTTTTTGCTGTGTGTTTGTACAGCACCTCACACAAGGTCGTGCTGACCCATGGCTATGGCTCCCGGCAGTATGTTAAAAAGGTATTATCCTAATAGCAGCAACTCATGACCTATAGGCTCCTCCTGGCAGCTTCCTGTAGCCAGACAGGAACCCCCCTGTAACATCCATTTTTGCTTGCCTGGAGAATGCAGGGCACACAGAGCAGTAAAAGCCTTGAACAAAAGGCCCGGGGTGCTGTGTGACCCTGAATGGCTGTAAACAGAGATATGCCAATTGCTGACCAAGAGGCCGCCGAGGAGTGCCCTTGACTGAAACCCATATTGATACGAACACAGAGCCGTCCGCGGGGGGAGGAATCTCTCGCCCAGTAAAAAAATGTCCAGTACTCGCAATTTAGTTATCTCTCTTGCAAGTGTAAATTAAGTTGAAACTTGCTTGTAAGAACTGGGGAATGGTAGAAGGGAAAACAGAAAATAAGAGACAATGGATTTCAGGAAGGCAGATTTTGATAAGCTAAAAAATGTGGTAGGTAAGGTCCCTTGGAAAGTAATGAACCATGTATCAAAGCTAAATAAGATACTTGTAAGAAGATTCTGTATCCCTTGTGTCCCTACAGGTACTGAGCCCTCTCTATGACTACTGTGGCTTTCACCAGCTGTTTAGCAGACTCCAGAAGAATGTAACAGTCTGCCACATGCCTATGCTAAATTACCCTTGCTTTCCATTACATTCTCAAAAGGTCAGAGTTTTGTTTCTTCAAGTGAGTCAGGTAGCAACTTGCCTAGCTAGCACCAGCTTATATGTGCTTTTACTAAAATGAGAGCAAACGATAAAATAAATATACTTGAAACACCTCCATGCATACCATTGCTAGAATGACACTGCAATTCATGGTACAGAAAGTGAGATGGGTACCTGAATTTAGAGCAAAAGTGCAGTCTCTCATACTTGTCAGAAAAATCAGCCAAGGGTCACGTTCATCCATTATATACCCCTTTCATGGGGAGATGGCTACCTTGGCACAGGATGGTTATTGCTCTATATATAAAAAAAAGTTCCCTGTGGGATAAGAGAGACATCATCGCATCACTCTGCATCCTGCCTGCCTTCTCCCTTCCTCCCTCTGCTTTCCCCAGTGCTCGGAGTGGGGGCTGCCATGTCCCAGTCTCTCTCCTTCCTTCTCAGTGCTGGTGGGGAGTCAGGGCTATGTGCCTCAGCCGGAGGAAGAGAGAGGAGGCTGGTGATGCCTTGGCCTGGTCCCCTTGCTCCCCAGCCCTCTCCCCGCTGGTGACCGGGAGAAAAGAGCTGGGACTGGTGTGGCATGTTAATTTTTGTGCGTGTGCATCTAAAAATACCAAACTTCCCTCTTGCAGATTTTTAAAGAGAGGGAGGAAGACCTGCGGCGTCTGTCCCGCCCACTGGAGTGTGCGTGCTTTAGAACGTCCATCTGGGATGAAACGCTTTATAAGGTTTGAATTTGAATGCGCCTCTTCTGTGTGGCATTTCCTTTCGTCTGCCTCCTGCTCTCTGGGTGCGTAAGCTGCATTGTCAGCTGCTGCCGAATTCCATAGCTATAGGGGTCTCTTCTAGCCCTTTAACTTTGAAATGCTGTCTTGAAACGGGAGGTTCCATTCTGGGTTTTCAAGGGGCGAGGCTGATGGCTGTTCAGCTGCTGGCTTCATAAAATAAATCTGCCTTTCCCTTCTCCCATCGGTATTGTGGTACATAGTCCTATAGCGTCCGGTTAACGCTGCCTGTGTCCTCCCTGCCCAGTTGATTTAGAAGGAACCTCCACTTCCCTTAACACAGGACTATATGCAGCCAATGCAGAATTATTTCCATATTCCGTTTTCTAAGACCTTGTCCGATAATCAGCGACTAAAGTTATTGGGCTTCCATCGCTGCTTGGGAGATGACTCCCCCTTCTGGAAGCTTGTCTTGATATCCAGCCTAGACTTTCCTTACCTTCATCCTTCCCCATTACCTGTTAAGATCTCCCTGCAGAGACTGGGTTGATGGGTATTAAATGGATCAGACTGAGAGCAAATGACAATTCTCCACATTTTGGAGTATTGTGTCCTGTTCCGGTCACCACATTTCAAGAAAGATGTGGAGAAATTGGAGAAGGTCCAAAGAAGAGCAGCAAGAATGATTAAAGGTCTAGAGAACATGACCTAGGAGGGAAGACTGAAAGAATTAGGCTTCTTTAGTTTGGAAAAGAGAAGACTGAGAGGGACCATGATAGCGGTTTTCAGGTATCTAAAAGGGTGTCACAAGGAGGAGGGAGAAAAATTGTTCTTCCTGGTCTCTGAGGATAAACCAAGAAGCAATGGGCTTAAACTGTAGCAAGGGAGGTTTAGGTTGGACATCAGGAAAAAATTCCCAACTGTCAGGTGGTTAAACGCTGGAATAAATTGCCCAGGGAGGTTGTGGAATCTCCATCTCTGGAGATATTTAAGAGTAGGTTAGATAAATGTCTATCAGAGATGGTTTAGACCAGTGGTCCCCAACCTTTGGTGTCTGCTGGCGCTCACGCGCCACGCTTCCGGGGGTGGGCCATACATGCGCCGTGTGCTGAGGGCAGGGCCAGCCCAAATGTTTTGGCGGGTGCACATAAATGCCCCGGCGGGCACCATGATGCCTGCAGGCACCGCATTGGGGACCACATGAGGGCAGGGGGCTCTCTCGAGGTCCCTTCCAGTCCTAGTATTCTATGATTCTATGATCAGTAGCCAGGTCACCTTCCCCTACCTGTCTCCTTCCAGCTCACAGACGTATTTCACCACTGGGGTCCAGTCA